CATGACCTTTACCTAGTCATTTTGAAGCTTTCTTTGGGGAAGTATGGTGAGAGAAAGCCTTTTTAATAAGAGTACAAAGAGAAAGGATAAGGTAATACTCAGTTTTAGAGGAGCAATATAGGATTTGCTACAGCCCCAAGAAAGGATTTTTCAAATTCCTCTCATTCTACCTCTTTAGTACATTAACCACTTTACCTGAAAGAATCAGCTCTAAGAGCTTTCCCAATCTTTTCACTCCTGGTTTTGTTTGAATCAGGCCTGGAGGTTTGAGTTGGGAAAAAAGAAAGTATGAGGCAGGGGGAAGCCATCACATTTCCAACCTAAAGCAAGGGTGGAAAGGAGAGAGGAAAAGTAGAGGAGAGCTTTGGGTTGGAGAGAGAAAGAGAGTAACCCCAAGGGCAGGGGGGCATTTGCCTCCTGCCCCAACCAGGCCTCTGAGAAGGGATCACGTTTCGGGGCAGTCTTCCACCCTGAAATCACCTGAGAGTCTGGTCACATCTGCATAATGGGCCAAGTAGAAGAAGGACCTGATATTTAGTTTACTGAACCAACTTTGGTTCTTGTACTTTAGATGGCACCCAGAAAGAGCTGGGAGTCTGACTATGGGGCTAGCTAATAAAATCTGGGCAAGACAGCATTGTAGCAAATGTTGCAGAGTAAAAATCCAAGACAGGACCACAAGAGAATCTTCACCAGATCTGTGAAAGGTAGCATAGGATGGGAGCTCAAGAGAGGTTAAGTCAGTGAAGAGTGCCAACAGGTACAAAGCCTGAGGAGAAAGGATGAACCAGAAGCTGTAGTTGCCATCTGGTGACTGACAGGGTGCCCAGGCATCAGACGGAAAAGAGACAACACCACTCTGGAGACTAGTGGAGTCCAAGGCTACCATGATCACAAACCACCTCTAAACACACCACCACATCATGAAGCCTCTCTCCCCTTATATCTGGATGTCATCTTAAAATAAGAAAAGATGATGGAAACAATCTGAAAGATAGCATTCGCTCCCAGAGAGAATAAATATTAACAGAAAGAACTGCTTAAATTGTCATATCCGACTAAACTTTAACCTGGACACACATTTTTGCCCAGCACCCATGAAGGGCTACACACTGCGGATACTAAGGGTGTAGTTTTCTGGATCCATGTGGCCTGGGTCTGACTCCTGGCTCCACAGTTTGCCAACTCTGTGGCTTTGGGCAGTTTACTCAATCTCTCTGTGCCTCAGTTTCCTCATCTATAAAATGTGGACAATGACAGTTTTTCTTAGTATTTTTTTAAGGCTTAAGTGAGCTAACAAATGTAAAGCACTTAGGTCAGTGTCTGGCCTATATGAAGGTTCAGTAAATTTTGGCTATCCTTACTACTGTTAACATTACTATCCTAAGTAGGGCTCATAGGGAAAGATCAGATGAGCTACAGAAAAAATAAGAAATATTAATTTCTCTACACAACCAAGTAGATTACAATTTGTACCCTTGCTATATAAATACTTAATATCATAAATGCTACAGGGGATGTAAAATAGATCAAAAGGCAGCTTTTAAAAAACACAACTGTTGGTCCCTCCCTGCCTCTGACCTGCAGATAAGGGAGGAGACACGATGAGATATCAAAGACCTGAAAGGACCAGCCAGGGAACTCTAGGCATTAACAGCATGTTAATGCTGAGTGGTGCTTGAGAGGGCACTTTTCATATTTATTGAGCAAATACATGTTAACAACAATAGAATTCTGTGTGGGGGACTTAATAGACAACCATTAACTAACTCTAAACTTAATCCTCGGCAGTCTCCACTCTCCTGGGGCAAGATGTCTTACATGGTATTGAAACAATAGCAAGGGCAATTAGGTCACAGAAACTGTTTTGGTCTTGTTTGTTCTGTTCCTGATCACTTATCAGGAATTATAGAAAAAATAATCAAGTCATATATGATTATACATTTGATTTCTATACTTGATTTATTTATTAATCCCACACACAAGAGTGGCAAAACTGGACAGCTACATGCAAGAGAATGAAACTGGGTTATTGTCTAACCCCATACACAAAAGTAAACTTAAAATGGATCAAAGACATGAATGTAAGTCATGAAACCATAAAACTCTTAGAAGAAAAAATAGGCAAAAATCTCTTGAATATAAATATGAGCAACTTTTTCCTGAACACATCTCCTCAGGCAAGGGAAACAAAATAAAAAATGACCAAATGGGGCTTCATCATGCTAAAAAGCTTCTGTCAGCAAAGGATACAATCAGCAGAACAAAAAGGCACCATACAGTATGGGAGAATATATTTGTAAATGACATATCCGACAAGGGGTTAACATCCAAAATATATAAAGAACTCACATGCCTCAACACCCAAAAAGCAAATAACCTGATTAAAAAATGGGCAGAAGATATGAACAGACAATTCTCCAAACAAATTCAGATGGCCAACAGACACATGAAAAGATGCTCCACATCGCTAGTTATCAGGGAAATGCAAATTAAAACCACAATGAGATATCACCTCATACCAGTAAGGATGGCTACCATCCAAAAGACAAACAACAACAAATGTTGACGAGGTTGTGGAGAAAGAGGACCCCTCCTACACTGCTGGTGGGAACGTAAATTAGTTCAACCATTGTGGAAAGCAGTATGGAGGTTCCTCAAAATGCTCAAAATAGACTTACCATTTGACCCAGGAATTCCACTCCTAGGAATTTACCCTAAGGATGCAGCACTCCAGTTTGAGAAAGACAGATGCACCCCTATGTTTANTAGATGAATGGATAAAGAAGATGTGGTACATATACACAATGCAATATTATTCAGCCATAAGAAGAAGACAAATCCTACCATTTGCAACAACATGGATGGAGCTAGAGGGTATTATGCTCAGTGCAATAAGCCAGGTGGAGAAAGACAAGTGCAAAATGATTTCACCTATCTGTGGAGCAGAAGAACAAAGCAAAACTGAAGGAACAAAACAGCAGCAGACTCACAGAACCCAAGAATGGACTAACAGTTACCAAAGGGAAAGGGCCTGGGAGTGGTGGGTGGGAAGGGAGGGAGAAGGGGAATAAGGGGCATTACAATTAGCACACATAATGTAGGGGGGGCACTGGGAAGGCAGCATAGCACAGAGAAGATAAGTAGTGATTCTATAGCATCTTACTATGCTGATGGACAGTGACTGTAATAGGGTATGTGGTGGGGACATGATAATGGGGGAATCTAGTAACCACAATGTTGCTCATGTAATTGTATATAATGATACCAAAATTTAAAAAATAAAAAATATATGAATCAGAAGGAAAAAATAAAAATAAAAAACATGAGAGTGGTATAAATAAAAAATCTTAACAAATTGGACTGCATTCAGAGAAAAATATGAATTACCTATATTAGCTCAAGAAGTATGCCAAATGTTAAAGAAATATGCCAATGAAGCTGAAAAATTCATCGAAGAATTACCTCAAAAAAGGTGTAGGACCAGATCACTTAATTAGCACATTCTTCCAAACTTTCTCCAAGGGGCAACGCCAGGGTGCATAACAAACAGAACTAGGGCTTATAAAAGATGGAATGTACCCCAGTTAGTTGAAAAGCTAGACTACCTATAATACACAACCCTGCATAAAATAAAACTACAGACAAATATCTTTCCTAGAAGCTTTGTTACTCCAGGATTTCTTAGTGCCTCTAATATGCTGTGAAATTTTAATAGCAACATCTGGGGAGACACAATATTCCTGAACTTTAAGAATTCTTCCAGGCTTTCCCAGACCCCTCTATGACCTTGCAGGAGCCACACAAGAGCCTTGAGTCATGCATTCAGAAGATTTAAGATGGTCCAAGGGCCAAAAATATGCAGGATTCACAAGAAAGGGGAAAAGAGACAGTATACAAAATTGCCATGATAATAGCAAAGCTGAGGCATGAAGCAGCACATTCTGCTGGTGAAAACATAAACTGATTCAACTCTTCTAGGAAGCAATTGGCCATATGTGTTTGGAACTTAAAATGTACATACTTTTTGATGTAATAATCCAACTTCTATCAATCCATCCTGGAGAATTAATTTAAAATGAATATAAAGATGAACATACAAGGTTGTGCTTAACAGAATCATTAATAGCAAATGAAACAAAACAGGAAACAATATATATGTCTAAAACTGGAAACAGTTAAGTAGATTATGGTACATTGATAAGATGAATTACAGAACAATCAAAATCAACGTTTAGGGAAAAAATGACACTTCTTCGGAAGAAAGGCAGAATGCAACTGCAAAGTATAATCTTAAGTATATTTTTAAAACATACTCATATAGGAAAAACTACCAAAAATAAAGGCCAAAACCTTAATATGATCTCTGTGTGGTGAAACTCTGAGGAATATTTGTAATATATCTCTATTACCTAACTTTCTGCAACAAGCATATATTACTTTTATGATCAGAAAAAAAAAGGTAAAAATCAAATAATAATTGCACATTGAAAAATATTTCTATGAGTGAAAAGGAGTAATTTTAAGTTTACATACATTACGGACAAAAATATCCTCAACCGCGAACACAGAATTCTCCCAAACGTGAATCTCACACTGGTGCACTTTAAGCATGAAGACAGAAAAGGCAAACCAACCAAATGCCTCCATCGACAGGCTAAGCTGCTCTTCTCTGGGTTTTCACAACACGCGTCATCCGGCAGGGGAACTCAGCACACATTTGTTAAAGGGCAGCTGTTTTAGTATCTCCTGTGGTTCCAAGAATCTCTCCAGGGAGCGGATGTTGAAGGAATGTGTGGAGTTGCACTGCTGCGCGTGTGTGTAACACATACAGACATTCTCAATCTCTCTCTCTGTCTCACACACACACACACACACACACACACACACACACACACACACACACACACGCAGTCAATCATGTGGTTCCTGCCCAACAACTCGAAGCGAGTCCTCGGGTGCAGCCGCCGAGCCCTCCCCGCTGCTCAGGCCGCAGGTACCTGTTCGTGGGGCGCGGCGGCGGGGTCGCCGGGCTCCTGAGCGTCCGCCGCGCGGCGGTGGTGCTGTGCGTGGCCTCCCTGCTTTCCTCCACAGACAGCCTGCACCGCCAGAAGAAAACTAAGTTGTTCCACGTCGCTGCAGGCTGGGCACGCGCCCGCAGCTTGGCCAGGACGCCCTCCCGGGCCCAGGTTCCCCGGGGCCGCCCCCACCACCGGAGTCTTTAGAGGCTTGGGGAGGGGGGGCAGGTCCGGCCCGGAAAGGGTCCCGAAAGGCGAGCCCGGGACACGGCTGGGAGCCCGACGGCAGGGCCCTCGCAGCTCGCTGGCCCGGAGCGACGCCCGCCGGAGCCCGCCGAGCCTGGCCGCTCCCTCTCCGCCCCCGCCGCCCGTCGGCGGGTCCTCTCAGTGGCCCAAAGTCTGCGCGCGCGAGCGGAGCGGCCCGGGCGCGGCGGGCGGGTACCTGGAGAGCGCCGGCGCGGCCAAGGAGCCCCAGAGCAGGCGCAGCGGGAGCAGCAGCAGCAGGCTGGCGAGCAAGGCGAGCGGCGCGCCCCCCGGCCGCATCCTGAGCCACGGGCGCGGCCGCCGCCGCTGCTGCTGCCCCGGCGACGCGCAGCCTGGGCGGCCCCGACTCGCCGCTCGCGCCGCCGCCGCCGCCGCTGCGGCCGCAGCCACGCACACCTCCAGGGCTCCCGGGGCAGGGGTGGCGACGGCGCGCGGCGCGGGCCCCGCTGCGGGCGGCGCGGTCTCGGCGCCGAGGGGGGCGCGGCAGTCCCGCCCCTCCGCTCGGCCCCGGACTGTGAGCGCGGAGCTCGCGTGGCGGTGACGATCGCAGAGCTCGCCGCGTCTCCTCTCGAAGGCGCTCCTAGCTGCTGCGGGCTCTGGCCGTCGCCGCCGCGGCGCGGGGTCACCTGAAGGTTGGGACTCGGGAGCTGGACTCCGTGCTGATTGGGCTGCAACTTTTCTGCGCCCTCACCTGCTCCCCAGTGCCCGCGTGCTGTTCTCCGAGGCCCGCGCAGCCCAGCCCAGCCAGACACACCACGACTGACTCTGATACTGCGGTTGAGAGCAAGGACTTAGTGAGGCAGCAGAGCAGAGAAGAACGGCCTCACTTCAAAAACTTTTAAAACTATGTGCTCTGTACTAGCTTTGCCGGATGGGCCCACGCGTAAGGCTGCTGGGGCCTTGGTAGTCGCTGGGCGTACCCCAGCACCAAAAGGAAGGGATATCCTCCCCTCGCTTAAATGTAGGCTCAAAGGCACAGAGGATCCGTTTCCAGGGGCCAGTCTTCAGGGGTCAGCAAACTACTGGCTGCAGGCAGAATTCAGGTCCTGCCTGATTTGTAATTAGTGTTATTGGAACACCTTATACCTATTCCTTTGTATTATCAGGGGTGGTATGGGGCTGTATCATCTGTGGCTGCTTTTGCACCACAACAGGCAGAGCTTAGCAATGGTAACAAAGATCATAGGGCCTACGAAGCATAAAATATTTAGTATCTGCCCCTTTTCAGAAAAAGTTGGCAGACCTCTGGTCTAAATAGTTTTGGTTACCATCTCCTTTATTAGTATCCCATTTATTGTGGGAGAATGATCCCATGGCAGTGTGATATAGTCTGGCTCCCCAATTATTTGGGAGTGAGCCCCTCCTTTTTCACCCCTCATCTAACCTATCCACACTTGGTCCACAGATTGCCCAAGCTCTGGCTGAGCAACCTCCCTAGGTTTTGCTCCTGACTCTGGACCTTTGAGGAACACCAATAAACCATAAACCCTATAATACTTACATGGGGGTTCATTAAACTATTATTCACTCTCATACAGATTTGAGATTTTTCCAAAAGCAACCCTTGGACTCTACCATTTTGCAAGTATCTTGATAAAATTGGAGTCTCCTAGAGGCATAAAATCTTAACTCCAAAAGACCAGTGTGAGAGTCATAGGTTGAGCAAGTTGACCAGACCCCTCAATAAAGCTGTCACCAGTGATTTTGTCACTGGAAAAATAACATATCAAGAAGAGAAATACAAGGCTGCCTAATCCCCTTCTAGTAATTCTGCATTTATTCTAATTAAAAATATTCAATTGAAAACAAACCAGCACTTTGCACACAGTAGTTGAGCAATAAATACTTGGTCAATGAATAAAACACCTTGGAACTAATACTATTTGTAAAGAGAAAAAGAACAAAAAAACTGAAAAAAATATGTGACTGGAAATATGATTTCCTGCCATAGCTCACAAATACCTATTCCTTGGTATTATCAGAGGTGGTATGGGGCTGTATCATCTGTGGCTGCTTTTGCACCACAAAAGGCAGAGCTTGGCAGTGGTAACAAAGATCATAGGGCTTACAATTGCTATAAAATATGCATTTATCAATAAATAAAAAGTTGCTACCTTTACATAAGATTGACTTTTAGGAATCTAGCTGCTTATCCAAGTATAGCATAATAAAGTAATGGTATATTCAGATAGTACTAAAATACTAAAGTAATCCAATTGTATGTGTTTGAAAGTTAACACATTCTGTTAGTTGAGTAGGATATAGCACAGTTATCTCAAAAATGAAAAACTCAAAACTCTGGATTGGGAAATTTTATTTCTCTTAAAGCAGAATTGTGTAGACAGCTCATTCAGAAGATGGTTTGCAGAAAAAGAAAAGGGCATTATTGTACCAGCCAGGGAGCTGTAATTTCACCTAATTTACTGAAGTTTAATATTTCAGCACAGCTGGGCTCAAGGCAATAGCAGAAGAGTCAGCCTTGCACTGGGCTCCCTGAACACCCTTGCTACAAATGGAGTTATTTTTTTATCAAGCCAATGGCTTTCAGCAGGAGACTCACAAAAGCCCAGTTTTATTGGAAAACCAAGTGTAAATTTGCAATGGGAATTGTGAACCAAGTGTTAACATTTGACAGTAGAGAACTTTACCACAAGCTTTGTAATTGAAGACTTGGGTTGGTAAAATATGAATTGAATTGTCTTGCATATCCTTGATAGGAAAGACCCTGACAAAAACATGATCTCTAAATATTATCTGCCATAGAACCGATACTGGAAAACTGTGTATTTGGGAACTTAACATGAGCAGATCTGCCCAACAACCCCAAAGATCTATGCCATGTAGTCATCTGAGATAACCTGCTGAGGCACAGAATCAATGCAGAAACTCAGGTTGATGTGCAGAGAAGCCCAAGGTGGTACCCAAACCCCCCTTGCTCACCCAGCCCGGCCAGCACTTGCCTCTCATTTTGCCCTTGGTATTCTTTAATTATCATAACGAATGTCCTTACTGTCATAAAATAAGTTTTTAAGAACTGCCTGGCAAGTTTGGGTACATAAAAAATGTAAATGATTGAAAACCTTCTGGAGGCTGGGTTCTCATTTTTGGTGCACGGTTTTGAACATTTCCAGATGCATGAATTTGGGGATTCATGAAGAAGAATCCAAATATCAAGTGTCTGCTATATCCACAGGTACACACGAGCAGGAACTCTCCATACAGGCTTTAGAAAGGAATGCTGTTGAGAAACACAGAAAACTGATGCGTCAAATAATTTTATCCTTTATTTGGGTGACATTTTTATCTCCCTGTCTAGAAAGAGTGGTTTCTAATGTCTTCAAGCTGCTTGATTGGTTTTAGTAATATTAGAGATTTGTGAGGACTGCTGAACAATAGCACATTCATAAATATTAAACTATTCCTTGAGGAAGGAAATTCATAAGGATAGTATAACCAAGGTTACATATTTTCAATAAAGCATAGGATATAAATAAAAGTAGGACTAACTTCAAGAAATCAGCAACCCTGTATCAAGGAGCTATGTTTTCAAATATGTTATTACAGATACTGCCCACTGCTAATTGAATATTTAAAAATTGAGGAAATTCTGTGTATAAAATAATTCTAACTTTAACGATAAAACACCTAGGATGATACACAAATTCAATATAGGTCATATGTGTGTGTGTGTGTGTGTGTGTGTGTGTGTGTATGAAATCCAATTTGTAATATAAGTAAAATCACACAAAAAATAAGTTATTATTCACAGTGTAAAATAGATTTTTAATGTCTAAAACAGTCAAACTTCTAAAACTCCTCTCCCTGAAACCCAGAGATCATAAAGGACCAAAAAGAGAAATGGAAACTATTTAATCCTGCAACTATAAAATGTTCACAATCCCATTCCACAAACCCCCAAGAATTCTTGCTAAAGGTGAACCGATTGGGCAAGAATGCCAAGTTCAAGACTCATTTCCCTATTTATGACTCAGATTTATGGGGAAAAAATGGAAAAGATTTTGAAGGCTCTACTAATACCCAGTTTGGAAGACCTAAGCTGGGAGTAGGTCACACAAAAAATGAGTAGCAACTGGTGTGAATGGCCAAGGCTTCAGACTTAAAGGAGAGATGGTGATGAATATTTCCATTTTAAATGAATACAGCTTTCTAGACAGAGGAACGATGACCTAGAGACCTAATTTTGAAGTGAGATAACACAAAAGAATTTTGTAGCTACTGATTCAAGTCAATTTACCAAAGAAAAATGAGCCCTTGTTCTCCAGAGTCAATAAATAAAAGGCCCTTGAGCTGTTGGCTTTTGTACTGAATTGCTCTTTCCCTAGGTATCCTGCATAATTCCAGACTTTGGAAGACTGGGCAGAGCTCCAGTCATTTCAACAGAGTGGCAGTGGAGGTAGAGTGTGCAGAGAAAATATATGCAAACCTGCCATATATCTCTGTTCACTTTCTCTTCACCACCCCATCAAGCCATAGCACCTGAATTACAAGCAGATCAATAACTAAGCCAGAAAGTATCCAAAAGCAAGCCTAAGCTTATGCAAAACTAAGCTTCAACAAGTAGGCAAATGAAAAAGGACAGGCAAAGATTTTCGATTGACAATATTCCTGGCAGGTAGCAGAAAGAAACAGGCATGACTTTTTTCAAAGATGGGGAAGCAGGAAAAAAAATATGCAAAAGCTTTGCAAAACGTAAGAAAAAAAGGAAAGGAATACAACCAATAAAAAGGAAAATGAGGACTGTATGTTCAAACAAGACTTAGAACAGGAAACAGCAGAAAATCAACCCATTTAGTAGAAGGGTTAGTAGAAACCCATTAGTAGAAAAGGAAGGGAGGGGAAAATAGAAGTCAAAAATAAAGCACAAAATAAGATGGTATAAATAAATTAAAATATGTCAGCTATCATAGTGAACATAAATAAACTATACTTCCCAGTTAAAAGAAACTCACATATTAGACAAAAATAAAATGACCCAGAAAAGAAGAAAATAGTGCTTAAAATGATATACAAAAGAAATACTAACCAAAAGAAAGCTGAAACAGTATGAGAAAAAACAGAGAAGGAGGTGGGAAGTATTAGTAAAAATAAGAAAAGTCATTTTATAATAATAAAAGGCACAACTCACTAAGTAGAGATAATCAATTCTGAATCTGTGTGGGACAAGGAACAATATAACCTCAAATTATACAACACAAATTGAATAGATTCAGCATATGTTTCTCTCAAGAACACAAAAAGGTAGCAAAAACTTGGACTGAACAACACAATCCAAAATAATATACCTTCTCA